TACAAGTACAAGCGACATGAATATTTCATAAGCTGGAACTTTCTGCCTGTGTGCCGGCCTCATTATTGGGCCCAATTCGTGCATTGCGTTTACTTAACGGTATCCAATGAAATTTATTGCTGTTTTGTGACATAAATTGGTATCAGTGTGCCGAAACGTTCGCAAATGTGTCACAGCTGGCAGTTGTCAACAACGGCAGTAACATTCAAGACAGCAATTTGCCAAAAGTCGTGCTGTAATTGGCCTATATGTGTATGGGCCTTTATGCATGCGTGCAAGGCGTGCGGACAAAACAAAAGACTTGAGCAACAAACTCTTGCCGGCACACAACGCATGTGAAAAATGTAAAAAGGGCCTTTGTTTTACACATTTGCCGCTGAACGTTTTGTTTTGTGCCATAAACAATTTATGCTATTAGTGTGAACTTTTGTTGAACGATTTATTGAAATTTTGCCAGCGCCTTTCTTCTACTCGCACATTTCACTTTCTTCTTTTGTGTGCCCATTTGGCAATAATTTATTAATTTTATGTGCCCGTGCCTGTATTTATTTTGATTTTTCCCCCTTTTTTCTGCATTGTGCTAATGAGCTGCTAAATGCCAAAAATGGTTCTTGAATGAAAATTTCACTTTTTGGCCATACACATCTCTTGCGGATAACCGGTTACAAAAATATTTAAAATTCCGTATATCTTAAAAATATTGTCTTTCGTATTGTGGAATTGAGTAGGAGTATGTTACGTTTCTAAAGCAAGCTATTTGTTTTTGACTGAAATTTTGTGAAAATATGTGTTACAGCTTGTAGACTATCTCCCGGAGGAGGAATACATTGTTTACATGGCATTGGATACATGCGTTGCAAATTCACAACAGAGCTCCAATAATGATTTGAACTTTATATTCCAATTTTTGAGAATAGCGTGAGGTTAAAAGACAAGGTAGAATGTTTGTTTAAAGTTATATACAAGTACATGTGCTTTAGTTTTGCTTCGAAATATTGTAACTATGCTTATAAATAGCAGAACGCCATCGCGCAAATTAAATTTAAACGTTACATGTTTCCTTTTTTTTTTATTGATTTTGATGCACCCTGTTGGCCAAGGTTCCAGTTGCATTAATCGGGCATCGAGACCCGTTTATGTTTGTTATGTGAAATCGTCGATTTACAACTCAGTTCGAGTAGATTTTTGCAACATAGACTAAAAAATTAATTTTACTTTTAACTGAACTTATTAAACACATCATTATCAACGACTATAGAGTATTTTACAGTCGTTCAGCTGTACTGGTCTCATGGTGAAAGCTTGAGCGACCTCCGGGATAGTTCAAGTCGAGCCCATATCAACAGAAGCTTAGAATTAGCCGCGCTGTCTAATTGCTAATTGTTAGCTTCCGGTTGCGTTAAGAATCTTTTGCAAATAAGTGCAAAACTAAAATGCTTTCAGAAATTTAATTAAAATGGGAAAGAGGGAAAACAAAAAGCTTGAACGCAGCAATAACAACAATGGCAGTAGCAAACAGATCTGCTCTAAATGCCAATGCCATGGCAGCTGCTTAGTTAGTTGTTGTTTCTTTTTTTTTGCATGGCGTTTTGGTTATGTTTTGAGCTTAAATGGAGCGGGCAAAAAATGATCTAAAGCGAGAGAGAAACAACAAAAACAATGCACAATTTGTTGCGAATTAAATGGCATTTTTCCACTTTGCACCCAAAGCGCGGTCTTATGTGTAGCAAGTTAATTAATTGCCTTAATGGCATGGTTTACAGTTATTTATGACAATTTTAAATGCTTTACGATGTCTGCTTTTTAATTTTAATTCGTTGAGCAAATGTTTTCATCAACTTGATGTTTTAATATGCATGCTCGTCGGCTTTGGCTGTTGCTGTTGCTGTTATTGTTATTATAATTGATGTTGTTGTTTTTGCTGCTGTTTATACAAAAAACCCACAGTTGTTGACTTCATTTAAATGTTTTTGTTGATGCGGACTGGCAGCAGCTGCTACGGCAAACCAAACAATATTTTTGTTTTCGTGAAGTACTACAAACACTTGAGGTGCTTCGGAGTGGCCACGCCGCCATGTAGATGAAATGTCCTTCTGCTGTGGCAGAAATTCTTTAGCGTGCATTGACATCGTTTGGCTTTTGGAGAGCCAGAGCTTCTGCCTGCCGCCTGAGTGCCTGCCTGACTACCATGAGTTGAATTTAACACCTTTTTTGTTATGCCAGGCATCTAAAGCCCAAAAGCAGACCTGCACTCAGCTAGCTGGCTATCTTTTTGTGCTGACTGCCCAACTACAACAACAAGAACAACAACAAGCAAGCGAACGAATGAACGAACGAACGAACGAACTGAAAAACGTGGCAACAATGACAACGGCAACATAGAAGCAACAGCAGCAACAACAACCGAAGTTACAACAACAGCAACTGCCCTTTAAGGTTGGCGCAATGCACTCAAAAAATTGATGACCCAGCAGTGCTTTGAGACTGAAGACGTGACGTGATGCAATGACGCTGACGATGACAATAAAAAAAATAGCATCAATGACGATGACTCCTTGAAATGCGACGTTTTAGTTTGAAATTGATTTTCCCTAAGCGACCAACGTCAGCTACAAAATTGACCTTGCCCACTAAAAAATGCTTTTCTTGCAGTGCAGCAAATGGCAACGATTGTGAGCCAAGTTTGCTGAATATGGTCATATAGCAGGGCGACTAGGGACGCATTGTGCTGTACATACTAGCTGGTGGTTGGTGGTTGGCGGCTGGCGGTTTGGCGTGTGGCGTGTCGAAGCGTTACCAAGTTTATGCAATTGTTGGCCATAAATGCGCTAAGCAGCTGCCATTGCGGGCACACACATGTCATGCGTTTTGGCTTGCTGCCGCATTAGAACTACCAAATATAAACAAAAGACTTAGGCAACGAACTGTTCAAAGGTTTATGCGCCCAACAATGGCGCGTGCTGCCAGAATATATACGAGTACTTATGTAAGTATATGTACATATGTATGTATGTATTTAACGTACCACAGGCCAGTTTGGCCGGCAATTGCGTGCCTCAAACCTGCTTTTGGGCGGCTTGTTCTTGAAATTGTGCATGGACATGGGGTATGGGGAGTGAGCCATGGGGCACGGGGCATGACATCAGTTACTTTTGTCTTGCGGCTAAAATCTAATAAAGTCAACCAGCCGCCTGTCAATTGCAGCATGTGCTCGAGCGCTAACGAAAGTTATTTATGCATAAACAAGTCTACTTAGCACGATCTCAGCGGCCTGCATGCGTCATCGAGTGTTCATAATTTATGTCAAGACTCGCCCCGTGCAGCGTGCAGTATGCAGCGGCGTGCCGTGTGGCGTGGGTGTTAATGGAAACAGTTCCAGCACAAGCAACACCACCGCCACAACCACCACTAGCAATAACAGCGGCAAACAGAGCGGCAAGACAAGAGCAAAAACAGAAGATATATGTACTCAGCCACATGCACACGCCAGCAAGGCATTTATTACACTAGATGGCATAAGTATTCACCCAAATATATGGATTGCTTTGTAGTCGCAAATATTTGTTTCTACTAATACAATTAGCTTACCAACATATACTTGCAATTATGTTGAGAAAAGAGTTACTCTTCAGTCATTCTGTAAATTTAGAAACATGCTCTGAATAATAATAAATAATAACAATTTGTTAAATAATTGTTCTTCTTCATTTAAGATGGATTATCAAAAATAATGACAGTCAATTTAATTAATGTTAAATCCCTATCACATACATAAGTAAAACTACCGTTTTGGGTTTAATTTGCATTATAAATAATTGCCTTAAACTGTTTTGATTGCAGATTTAGATGTCTTTTTGGTCTGCTTACAAATATTACTCACAATAAAACTTTCACACAAATTTATTACCCCAAAACAAGTTTGAAATACATATAAAAATACAAAAGTTTTGAGAATTTGAACATAAAAATATGTCTAAAATCACTTCAGCATCTTTTCGAAAAATTAGATAATATATAAGCATCTAACAATTATGGATTAGTTTTGAAAAATTTTCAAAATTGGTCACATCGTAAAAAATGAATTATTAGCCAATTTTAAACACATCTTAAATGAAATAAAATTGCACAACAAATGAACATTCAGAATACTCTCTTTTTTAATTTGTCATCTTCAAATATATTTTTGCCTTTAGTATATCAAACAAATTAAATTATGGACCTGTCGTAATTAAGTTTGTTTATTTATGTCAACTAGTGTACGAGTATGTGTGAGTGCATGTTTGTGGCTATAGAAAACAAGCTAAACAACTACGACAAGAACAACAGCGACAACAACTACAACAAGAGCAGCATTAAAACAACGACAACAACAGTCAGAGCAACCACAATACAGAGAAAAGTATAGCTGCCAACTGAAAGGGTCGATGACTTTTTGGTGCTGATGCTGAAGCAGGAGTTGCAACTGCAGCAGCAATGCCAACAACAACAGCAACAACAACAGAAGCAACACCGCCCGCATTGGCACCCAACGTGCAGCTGCCATGGCCAAAACACGTAGCACAAAAAGTGGCATAAACCAAATAAATGGAAATTGTTTAAAGTTAGGTTTGCTTTATGGCCTGGTAGCCCCAGTCACAGCCCCAGCCTCAGTTCAGCACCAGCACCAGCTTCAGCGTCAGCCTCAGCACGGCTGGCCTTAGAGTGTCTGCAAAGCCCGCTCTAGGGTTAGTCAGCGGCAACGGCTGTTAATGCTAATTGCAGTGGAATGTGGTGTTGCCTTAAAGTCGATTGCCTGTTTACTGCGCCATTAACAACAACTCATCTAAGAGCCCAGGCTCCGACTCGCGTTTGCATGTGCACTGGCGTGGGTTGTCTCTGTAAATTATTTACCCAAGTCCATGCAGACCATACAGCCTTTTATGCGTATGTACACGTATATCCGTATCTTGGCGACTACGCCAAGGTTCATTCAACCAAGACCGAGTTAGAATCGAAGTCAATGTCAGTGGACTTGTACAACTTGTACTTGTACATATATTTATTTTCAAACACTTTAACAATTTTAAGTATGTTGTTCAACAGTTCGATTAAAATTAATCCCTGATGGTGGAGCGTGGAAAGTAGAAAGGTGCAAATTTTTCGCCAGACCCACTAAAGAACTTTGATTGAAACTCAACCCAATGCAGACGCAACGTATGCAGAAAAGCCGACAAGCCCTCCATCATAACGAGTATGGCCACTGTAAGGACTGCCCAGATAAGAAAGGCCACTATGAGAACTGGAATGCCAATGTAGTGGGGCATGCGACTATGTAATCCTTTGGACAAGATCATGTGCCACAGTACATCGGAAAGCTGATCGTGGGCCAGCGACAAGGCCCACAAACGCAAGTAGGAAGCCGTGTGCGATACCGAGCCGAGTACGCTCTCGATGGTGTGAATGCCTGAGTGTATCCATATTTCAGACTTATCGAATTCGACTTCCTTGGCTGTTTTCATCTTTTGTTGTGATTGTTTACGTGATGGGGTATTTTCTTCGTATCCGATGCTGTAACGCATAGACGTGCGCATTTCTTTGATGGCCTCACGGCCCTTCTGCCTCAGTTCGGTGAGATCGCGTTCACGTTTTCGCTTCTTCTCTAGCGACCGTTGCTTTATTGTCAAATAAATCGGCTTGCCGGCTAAAAGAACGGGCACAGTGGCAAATGCTATAAAAACCAAGATATACTCGATCAGTCGCTCATTCGGAAACATGCCTTTCGGGCACTTCGGATCGGGCAATTGAGTCGTTTTCATCAGCATCATGTCTATAAAGGTGATCAGCACTGAGGGTGCGCAGGCGGAGTGGTATGGTTTTTTTTTCAAGCCACCGTACGTCACCCATTTGTAGAAAACAAGAAATACCAGGTAGCAGAACAGGCAGATCATGAATATAAACTGAGGTATAACAATCAATAGCAAGTCGGCCGTGCGTTTGAGTAAGACACAGTTTATGGCCGACAGTGTCAGACCAAACATCATCTGGACTATGCCCAATGTAATGGCCATTTTCATCTTTAGTGAGTTGAAAGTTGTAATTGAGTCCTCGCCGCAGGCCTTCCATATGGGATCCATGCCTATCGGGTAAGGGTTTCCTGAATAGAATCGTCTACTAGATGGATTGAATACGAGCTCGCCTGTCATATGTGCTATGACGGTTTCATTATAGACGCAACTCCAGCTTGAGCCAAAGATGTTGATCGCTTTCGACATCGTATCATTGTAGATCAGGCCGATATAAACGGAGAATAGACCCATAAGTAGAACAATATAGCGACCGGAATATAAAAGATTCAGTATTTCGTTTTCGTCTGTGGTCGTGCGACGCTTCGTTTCAATGGATTTCTCCCGCAGGATCAGTATGCAGGCAAAGGATACCATTAAAGTACCGTGGCCCATATCTCCGAACATAATGGCAAACAGAAAGGGGAATGTAATGATCGTGTATGGAGCCGGATTAATCTCTCTATAGTCCGCCATGCCGTATGCATCAATGAGATTCTGAAAACCTTGCGTAAACTTGTTCAAACGAAAGTAGGTTGGAGGTGTGTGCCTCATTTTGCGACTGCTTCTAAGCAAGATAGGTGGGAAAAAAAGACCATCGTGATCTTTGGCTGTATTACGCAGTGTCTGCCGCACCTCGTTCACATGAGAAGCCGGCACGAAGCACTCCGCCTGCAGATACTTGCGATGATCTATACCACCCACGGGACTCATCCGATTCAACAGATCATAGATTTTTTTAGCCTTCTGCAAGTTAATGCGCCAGATGTATAGATCTGCCGCTGCAAAGTTTAGGACTCGCACCCTGAGCTGATTGGATTCGTCTAAGACTAAATTTATATCGTCAATATCTTTTTGAACCTCTTCGAGTTTCAGTCTCCGAGCACTTGGTGTTTCGGGACACTCAAAGATTGTGACGTGGAAGGCGTGGCAGCATCTCATTAGCTTTGGGCGCCACATCATTGTGGCAGTAACCATCAGGAGGACATACTTGCGCACCAGCTGTATACGATTGCCATGCACTTCAATGACTGGCTCGGGAAGCTCGACATGGCGCAGTATCAGGTTGCGACCAAATATGCGAAAGAGCAATAGTTCAAAGGCCTCGTACCTATTGGCATGTATAGAGCCAACCAAATAGTTTAGATTCGTCAAGCCTGGCTCGCCGTCCGACTGATCCTTTATCAATCTTCCTATGGTGCTTTCAGAATAGAGTAATTGACTACCTTTTGTTCCGTCCATGGCCAAAAATCGATCGGCCTTGGTCAGTGCAAAGCGCCACTCTATTAAATAGTACTTTCGCTTCTCCAGCGTATGGTAGTGCTCCATTACTTGATGGGCACTGGTCTGTAGTTCACGCAACTGACGATCATAGTCCTGCAAATCAGTCTCACGCATTATGTTTTCAACGTCCACGTCCGGATAAAATATCTCCTTAATGTCCACCTGCGCCATTTGATCCATCAGGTACTGCACAATGCGTAGCAGCTCATGACAATGTTGAACTTGCTTAGTGAAGAGTCCATTCAGAATACGGTCCTCATCATAAACATTGTTGAACTGGACCATACCCAGGTGACCCAAATGCATCATATAGTCGAAGGCACCATCTATGTGTAGTAACAAATGGCACAGCTCCATGGGTTCGCTGCGGAAAAAAGCCAAAGCCATTATTATATCAACCTCACTGATTTTCGGCAGTTAGAGTATAACAAAATGTTCGCTTTTCAATACGGAAACTTATACTAGAAAACTCTTAAACAGCCTGCTTAACAATAGAGTATTTTCTTAATTTATTTTAAATCTGGAAAAATGTGCAAATGAACGAATATGGAAGTAGGGGTGATGATAGAGTTATATCATCTCGTTATATGATGAAGAATATACATAGTTGTAGCCTTTTTTGTAATTTTCCCTTCGTTTTCATAAGGCATGCGGTTTAAAAAGCAGCCACTGTTTACTACAACTCGGTGTCAATAATAACACAAGAAGGCGAAAGTTTTCACACTACAACATATATTTTTGGTTCATAATATACTTTCTCTGTCTATACCCTATTAAATAATAAAATTACGATAACAGTTTTTATATTCGATTTCTATTAACACTTCATTTAATTATTTATTTTAATTTGTATTATTTACAAGCGTTAATGCTATAATTCTGTTATAATTATTTAATACTTATTTCACTTTTATGGCATATTTTTTATATTTAGAACCTCATTAAGAAGAAGTAGCTGCACTTATCTGAATATTTATTGTTTGTATTTCCTGTAATTCTGTCGATATTTAAATTCCTATACTTAAGTTTCTCCATCAAGGAGATAAAATGGCGTTCGACTAATTGATATGTTGCCTGCTGGACCAGACGTAGTTGTTATGGTTGTAGTTATTGCTGTTGTTTCTCTAGCTGTTAGTGGTGGCATGTTTACTCGACTTGATCACATGCAGCAAACGCAAAGGCAAACAGAGCTGCACTCTAGTGCACACTTAATACAAGTAGCTGCTGCATGGCCAGACATGGGCAGAGATCGGCCAGGCTGTGGCTAAGATCAACAGCGATAATTTAATGTTTGCATGTTGCAGCTGCACCCCCGCCCGTCCGCTTCTAGGTATGTCTCTATGTGGATGGCCAGTGCCAACAATGGCCACGGTACAGTGAGCTCGAAGAGTTGTTGGACGTGAGACGGGGATCGGGGACGGGGCGGACTGGAACAGTCAGCAGTAGTATGTATTTAGGCAGCCCGCAACTGTGGCATGCAATTTATGTTTTGGTTCTTTGTTTTGTCTCTAATTTTTGTTGTCTTTGGTTGCGTGGTGTGGGTTTTGTTATTGTTTTTCTTTTTGTTTGGCAACATTTTAAATGGAGTTGTTTGCTCTGCGACTTGCTAGTGTTGTTGTTATTGCATTTAATTAAGTGCTTGAACAAACGAATTTGATTTACTCGACAGGAGGGCGGGCGACCTGCATGCATGCATTTCTATGTATATATATGTATATATATATACTCGCAAATAGACATAGGTACTATTTTAACTTGACAGCATGGCGTATGCTTCATTTAAACGATTTAATGCATACTGCCTGCAACTTATATAACTGTCAGCCCCTTAGTTGTTGTTACAGCTACTGCCGTTGGAGTTTTCTTTTCTCGTGCCTTTCAACGAAGATACTCTAACATTTTCCCATGCAAATCGAACATCACTCAGCACAGCGTTTAAGACAAATTGTTTTGTAATTTAGTTGAGAGCAGCGCTTTGTTGCTGCTGTTGCAGCGTATAATGCGATTGGTGCTGTTGTTGCCGTTGAACGTTTTGTGCCAAAAGCGTTTTACTCATTAGTTGAAATCGAAAACGGCTAAAAACAAAATAGCTACGAAACGTGAAAAATACCGGGTGAAAATCGTTGTTTGATAATGCTTGGGCTTAAACCCAGGCCCAGGCCCTGGCCCCAACTACGATGTTTTGGTTTTGCTTCAAACGATTGCACATGCGCCCATAAAATGTTCGTTAGCAGCAGCCGCAACTACAAAAATAGCACCAACAACTATAATAATAAAAGTAAAAGTGGCAGAGCAAACTGCACTTAATAATTTCTTGGGCTGCCTGTCTGTCTGTCTGTCCAACAGACTTACTGGGTGATTGTCTGGTAACAATTTTGTTGTTTCGCTGAGTGGACACTCGCTAACAATAGGCTCTAACTGTAGATGTAGTTGTTGTTGCCGTTCGATTTCATTAACTCTTATTGCAACACTTTTGTTGTTGCTCTGTTGTGTCGTAGCCGCGCACAAATTGCCAAAGAAATTAAGTCACCAATTGAAAGTTGGAAAGCGTAATGAGCCATAGCACTGAGCAGCGAAAGAAAGCAAAAGTACTAGTAGCCGTGTTGTGTTGTGAAAATTTCACTTCTTTATTATTATTTATATATCGCTTTGAATACGCGACAATTGCAGTTGCATTTACAAACAATTGAAATGAACACGACCCCATCATTAAGCGAAAATATTTAGAACTCAAGGCGACTGTCTCGCACAGCTGGCGAGCAATAACAAAAGACATTTGTATCCATTTTATAATTGTGTACAAGTGTTGAGTAAGCCAAGGTAGAATTGTAATGCGTCTGTCAACGATTTCAGTGAGCTAAGCACAACAAAATTGTTCCCTTACAGTCAAGCGCAATTGACTATGAAACTGCTTTGGACTTTGCCTCAAAAACTGTTTGCCCATTCATTTAACCCTTGAGCTACATTAAGTGAATATGAATTGATAAAAGAGACATTGTCTATAGATATAGTACATCAATAGCTGCAATTTAGTTTCACATTCATTTATTAAAACTTAGAAAACTTAGCAAACTTAACTTGGCACAGCACCCGCCTATCAAACACACCTATTTCGAATCTTGAAAGTAAAACGTAATAAAGACAATATCTGAAAATATCAGTAAATATTCAAAATGATTTCTAAATAAACATAGAATATCAGAGAAGTCAAGCTTTGTTAAAAACTATGTTTTTTTTTATTAGACAAAGTTATACGTCTCTTCTTACAAACATCGCCTCAATCCAATTAAAACTCGTTAGAAATAATATAAATTTCATTATTGTATCTATGCAAATAATAATATGTCCCTAATCAGATCTAATCAGTTCAGGACCTTTTTACGTATGTAGTACATTTCCTAACACTTTAAATTAATATGATGAAAATATATCAAAAAATATTTTTAAAAAATAATAATAATTTGTGCCTTTTTATCAAAATAGTCAAATGATTGAGCTATAAATTTGGCTCAAGAATCTTTTCCTGCCCTTAAAAAAAAATGCTTGCCTGCAGAATAAATGCTAATTTAATTAACTGCGCTCTTTCGAGGGTACAATACAAAATACTTTGGCAGAAGATGTTGAAAGCATTGCTTCAATGTGAGTTCAGTGGACGCGCCAAGTGGTCCCGTAAATTGCAAGTGTCTTAAGTACTATACAATTCAAGTGTTTTCTTAAACTAATTTACATTTCTCTTTCCTTCCTTCTTTCCAGTGATGAGGAACAGCGCACTTGCGTAAATTAGAAAACGTACGCCGAAATAAAAAGGTAAGAAGCAATTGATTTTTGGCATTAAAAACCAATAAATAGCGCCACGTTAACGCCTACAACAAATTTCGTGTAGCAGCAACAGCAGCAAAAAATGAAAAAAATGAATTCAAACTCACTTTTCGGCTGGGCAAGCCAGAGAGAAAGTGCTGCTGACAAAAGCACAAATTCAAGCTCAAAAGCGTACGCAACTTATAATTTTCCACTCGGGTTTTTACAACTATTCAAAAGCAAGTACGAGTAGAACCCGCAATTAACGCCTAAACAGCGCGCCTTGTTATTGCGGCAATAATATAAATGCTGGGGCTCTTAATGGAGCTGGCGCTGGCGCTTCTGGCGTTGGCGAACAATTCAAGTGACCGCTGGGCTGCTTACATTTCATTTTAATAATACGATTTCATGTGGGTGGTGCCGCTTTGTTGGTGTTACCAGTAATTTACAGCTGCTTCTAATAGGGTCAAGTTTGTTGCACGACTCTAACGACGACTGCTAACAAGAACCCACGAATTTGTGGGCGAGCACCTTGGCGAAACGAGAGCAAGAGTCAGGCGAAAGTTGAACCCGTAATGAAAGCGACATGCCTTTTGCCTCTGGTGTAATATTAATTTATAATTGCAATAGTGAATACTATGTATTTTAACACATACACACATACATGTGTAGCTAGTCTAGTTAGCCATAAACAAGTTTGTTGTCTAAGTCATTTGATACGCTCTCGGCTTTATTCATAGTCCATAGTTACAGTAGTCATGCATTGGAATATTTCTGAACTAAACTTATAGAAATTATACCACAAAATTTATTGGGTATCACTTAGAGCTTAGTGCGGTCTGTTTTTGGACTCCAAAATAATTTTTGAAAAAAATTTACGTTTGGGAGAACTTAAAGAATTACTAGATTTTTAAGTTGTGAAGTAAGATCAGTACAAGATATTTGCTTGATTAAGAAAGAAAGATTGATTGGCAGTAATATATTCTTATTAGAATGCCCGCGTCACCTTAAGTAGAAGAGAAATCGCTTTTGAACCAAGCTTTTAATTTTGTATACACGTAAATATTTTTTTGTTACATTCTAAAAAATTAATGATAGTAAGTAACAAAATTTGTGTTCTTTTAAAGCAAGGAAAAGTTTGTTAGTAATATTGGAAATGATAGAGTTTAATATCAAATCAAATCAAATGTTTAACAGAGGGTACATTATCCAAACAAAAAATGACAGTAGTATATGATTATTTTAGGTCTAATGGCCCAAATTCAAATTCAAACAGTGCTTGCAACTTAAAGCCATCTACCACATCCGAACACCGTTACAAACGCACGTCAGGACGTCGTACTCCGACATCAATTCATTAAAATGCCTTGCCTGTCTGTCTGCAACAAAGATTGTTGCCCAAACCGTTTTGAAATTGAAACGTCTATGTCGGCATCGGCATCGGCATCAGCATCAGCATCAGCATCGGTGTCTGGGGCTGAGTCTGAGTCTGCGTTTACGTCTCGGTCGACGTTTGCTCATGCATCTTCGTCTGCGGTTTATCTGTTGCAGCAGCACACTATGCATGTGTGTGTGTGTATGCGAATATCTGGCAGACGCGTACACGCAGTTGACTTTCGGGCATGCCATGCAAA